AACCACCACCATACTGCTGGTCATGAGTATAAACATAGGAGGGCCAAGCAGTATAGCACACAGTACATTCCCCCAGACTGGTCAGGCACAAAAGCTACTGTTTCCAATCAGTTTTCCAGATCACCTGGCTCTGAATTAGCCTGTCACACACACAAATTTCCCCACTAGATCAGGTACCATACAGAAAGTGGAATCCAATCCATCATGTGCTCTGTATATAGACATTCACAGCTACAACTACAGGACAAGCTGCATTTTAATCCTACTGCTAATTAAGCAGCGACCTAAAAATGCCATGCAGAGTGGCGCTTCAAACATCTGAAGGGTCTTCCTTTCATGCTCACTGAATTATTATGACATGTCAAAGAAATAACTGTCATCCTGATGATAATGCCAAGAATTGTTGCCCTCCCTCCAGTTTACCAGGTACTTGCCATTTCTTCCACACAGAAAGGCAGTGCTATGGGCTCCTGGGTACACCAGTGGCCATTTGAAGCACCAGATTATTTCTCTGACCTTGTAACAGGCATGACTGACACTCAATAAGAGAGTGCTTCATCCATTTCCTCCTGCCTTTGTAGTCCCCATCTAGTCCCAAAGCTAGAAGTCACACCACATCCATTCCGCAGAGCTGAGGCTGTCTTTGAAAACAAACAATAAATAAATGTCATCCTCTTTTCCCAACTGTTTATATTTCTTTGGGATGCAGGTGTTTGCAATGGCACCCCCAGCCTCTGTGACATCCTCGGCACACTACTTGAACATGGTATGAGGAAGTTCACTGCAAAGGGCTAAGCAGAACGTGAGGATTTTGAGACACACCAGTGAATCCTGATGCCTTGGCTAAAACACCTCCAAAGAGGCCAATTTGCAGAGCATACTGGACACCTGCATGGTGAAAAATCAAGTCCCAAAAGGTTTCAAAGGGCTGGTTAATGATGGACTGCAACTTTGCCGCATTAGTCACTATGGAAGAATCTTGGCCAGAGATGCCAGCGAGGTCCTTTCCTTCCCCAGTGGGATATGCAGTAAGGAGCTGGACTTCTCTTTACTCCTGCCACACTTTCTGAAGACAGGCATTAATTGTGATGTGATAGGGTGGCTGCAGCAAGACACAAGCACAGCTGTGCACCTCAACACTGTGCAGAGCAAGGAGTCCTACTTGGGTTGCTGCTCACAGGGAGCTCTCCAGCCAATAAGCACTATGCAGAAGAAATGACCCAGAGAATAGAAGTTATATACAAGACATTTACAAAGCAATTATTCAAGTGACTTGCTCATTAAGTATGGAGGAGGACAACAGTGAAAGTGCATGAGGAGGATGAGAAGGGAGGATTCTCTCTCCAAACTGGAGAGCTGCCTCCTCTGTTTCAGCAGTTTGCAGCATTAAACCCCCATCTAGTAACAGACATGTTCCAAGCAAAGCACTTATGGGTAGAAATCTTGCATTGTTTCTTCTCCTTTCAAGGTATAACAACGTTCACAAGATGAAATTGAACAAGAAAGCTTCATGCCTTAGATGCCCTTTATCAGCACTACACATACATGCCAAGAGTTATTACCCTAATCAAAAATGTCAACAACAAATTAGCCCTGTTTAAAAATCAACAGCCACAAAGGCAGAAATCCAATCCATGCATTCTCTAGTTACAGTCCACACGATACATTCTGCAAGTCTCCTGTGAGCTTGTATTGTGGATGCACACATCACCTCTTGTCACTTAAAACCAGTTCAGCATTCGCTGGACAAATGTTTTCATTGCTGCCAATTTTATGACATTTACATTCTCCATGCCACAGAAAGGAAAGTGATAGAATCAATGAGAATGAGTATGAGGTTTTATCCTCTCTCACCCCTGCACACCTACACTCTCAAACAAAAGGCACTCAAACTGCATGCCTGTTCACTCTAAAATCATTCCTTAGGAAACTGCAAGCTGTTGCTTCCAGGTTAGACTTTGCCATGAAAAAGGAGAAAAAAATAGCTGCTAAGACAGTTCTGTGTGTTTAAAGCACATCTTACACTCTATGAAATGTGGAAAACCAACTGATGTATCTAGTGCTGCCTACGAGCTGTAAAATACTGAGAAATAGCCTGTCTGGGGCTTGACTAAAGGATCGTCCTTCTTGGGTGGAGTGATGCCATATAAAAGGCCACTGCTGTTGCATTTGGAAAGATGCTTTTTTAAGAGCCTAATATAACAAACTGTGCCTGCAGTTCACGCGTTCTGAACTTCCTATGTCCTGTTGTAAAAAGGAGTGTTTGAAGCCACACAGCATAATTTATTTCCAGGAAAAGTGCCTCTTCCTACTGTTTGCTTTCCTCAATAATTCATACTATTCAGCACAACACAATCATCCTCATACCACTTAATGGCAGTATCACAACTGGGTGATTATGTGAGTTGTTAAAAATAAAATAGAATATAGCTTCAGAAATTTAGAATTTCCTCAAAAGCAACATATTTCAACTACCTCCAATTATAATTCTAATTATATATATGCAAAAGCTCTATCCCTAAAAGTGTTCAAGGCCAGGCTGGATGAGGCTTTGAGCAGCCTGGTCTAGTGGAAGGTGTCCCTGCCCATGGCAGGGGGTTGGAACTAGATCATCTTTAAGGTCCTTTCCAACCAAACTATGCTGTGATTCTATACACAGGCCTGGGGGAAACATGTTCAAGTCAATCCCCAGGAACCATTACCAGTTCCATGTTCACAGTGGGTTTGTTGGGAAACTGCAAGCAGAGACTGATTAGAGAACTTTGTCAAGATGGTTCTAGTTTTACTGGATTAGATACATAAGTAGATCACTTTAGATCTAGTTTATTCAGTGTTTGGGGTTCTCAAGGATAGACACAAGGCATCTGCAAGACAAATTTCAAAGCACCCAGTAATTAAATGCCCAAAGAGTGAAGTTCATGTTGCTTAACCTAACAGTGGTATTCATAAATCCAGATTGAACTGCTTAGCTTTTAAGGAATAAACCAAAAGTCATAAAAATATGGTAACATCTTAGCATTTAATGCACAAAATGATTTGAAGTATTTTGTTTTGCAGTTTGGCAGAAGACAAACAACTCAGTCACCCAAAGGAATCCTTCTGGATTATCATTTTATCCAAAAAAATCCCAGCCACAAAATGCCTTTGGCTAATTCTGACATACTCTTTTCCATGCAAACCAACAATATTAATCTGACACATAGTTCAAATTCTGACAACAGGAGAAGAAATAAAAAGCAAACGAAACTTCAAAGAACATGAAATAAGATTTTTCAGAAGTCTTCAGTACTGAGCTAATGAGAATTTTATCGTTAACTTTCCTGGGAAAAGGATTAGGTCTAATACAAACACTTTGGATATCTCTAGCAGTGAGCAATGAAAGCAGGAGGAATACGAGATGATGTACAACCTGCAGGTAGAACTAGTGAATGCCTAATAGGGTATTTTCCCATATTTCCCATACAGCATCTGCCAATGTATTACCTAAATTAATAACTCTGCAGTCTCAAACTGTTTGGTTCATTTTCTGCCTCTTATCAGGAGCACAGGGAAGACTGACAGAGTAGACTGAAGCATGTACATGGCCTGAACATTTTAGCATAAGATAGGTATTAAAAACCTGTCACTCTTCTACTATGCTTTTGAGAAATACATACATTTAAAGGAGAGAAAGTTTTGTACTATTTCCAAAATGACTACTAACATCTTTCCTAACGAAGCTTCCACAACACAACTCAAGGAGGAATAGCTTGTAGCTCACTATGATCTCCTTCCATGTAAGAGCATATCTGATCTCTGATAAGGCTAGTAGAACCTCACTTTCATTTCTGCAATGTGACTAATGGTGCCTCTGAAATGCTCAGCTGTGAAGTTTGGCTTACCAACTGTATTATTTACACTAAAGAACAATTTCCAGATCATTTCAGATTTTCCATGTTCCATTACTCTGCTGACAAAAATCCCTTCACAACAAGATGTATCCAACGTTTAGGTTTTAGAAGCAGAGCAGAAGTGTGAATACAAGAATTGATTTTATTTTCAAATGGTTTTGCAGATGACAGTTCCCAGTCCTGTTTGAAGTAAGTGACAAAAAGCCTAATGACTATGGGAGAGGCAGAGAAGCTTAACAACTTCAGTGGGGTTTGGATCATTAACAGTAATTGAATGCAGGACTCTGGGCCAAGTTTTGCCCTCAAATCAGACCAATTAGAGACTGAGACATTCAACTAGAGAGACATTTTCAGCTTGCCTGCATTAGTTACTAATGGCATGTTTTTTTCGCTTCAATCCAATGCACTCCAGAGGAAAACATGCACTTATTAACCATTTCATCTGAAGATTAGGAAACAAAATGATGTTGACAAAAATGTTATATTGCATGGCTTCGGGTGTTACCTTGAATGCAGCGATGCAGTGTAGGCTGAGCAACATCATCACCAGCACCAGGAACACTGTAGCTAAGTTCCTCACGTCCCAGATGGACTCAACCAAAGGGATGCTGCCCACCTGCCAGTCATAGCACAGGGTGATGGGTGCCAGCAGAAGCCAAGCATTGAAGGCCAGAAGGTAGGAGTAAGTTAAAAACCTGCAAACAAAAACCGGTAATGTAATACATGGAATAGCTGCCAACACAAAACAGCTCCCTTTGGCAATTACCACACACAACATGTGAGGAGGAAAAAACCAACCAACCAACCAACTAACCAACACCACCCTGCACACACAGGCAATACCACACCTCTGTCAATAAAGAGATGCTAGCATAGGCAAGGGGCACTTCAACAGGCCATTTAAAGAAATAACAAAAGATCAGTAATATTTACATGGTTTCTATGCAGCAGCTTTTGAAAAACTAACAGAACTCCTATTTGAATGTTAGATTTCTGATGTGTCTTTCTGCCAGCTTCAATGATAAATGAATAATAACTAAGCAGGTACATATACATATTCAACTTCTACACAGTTCACTGCATCACTGCTGCAATACAAAATAGCCTTCTAGTTAAACCCTCTGAGTTTAACTTACAATTTTGGATTACTTGTATGTGCATAACACTGAGCAGTTAAAGTCAGACCCTTCTCTGTTTCCTCTTCACAAACCAAGGCACATTTTACATATCACCAAAACTGGCAAATATTCAAAACAACAACAACAAAAAAGCAAAAAAGTATTTTATCATTCTATCCTGCATAGGATTTTCTTCCATCTGAGCCTGTTTTGGCAGTTGTTATCACACCCAGTTGCCATGGTACCTTAGCAGGTTTATTAAAACGATAACAAGGGATGACAGAGATGTCAAATCATGTAGACAGAGGATTCTTTCACTTGCTACTTACAAACTTGCCTCTTTGGGGTCAAAATGCAGCCCCTTACAACAGCACTTACAACATGATATTATATTTGTGGAAGAACAGTAAGACACTGAAGCTCAGTGTGACTCCACACAGGATTACAGGATGGAAGTTCTCAGATGGGTGTTGGGTCTTAAATTTCTGTGAAAATATTTTTAAATAACTACAAACAGTTAGGATATCACTTTCTCTTCTCATCCAAAAAACAATGTCTCCAGCAGCACAGTGACCCAAAAGCAGGGAGGCTTACAGAGCTGGAATAATGTTTCATTGTAAACAATCAGAGGCACATTCTCATTTTCCCACAAATCTTTCTAAGCTCCCAATTTTGATGGAAAGTGGAACATTCCCACATTTTTAAGGTTTTCAGCCATTTGGTAGACTTCTCTTCTATCCCTCCATTTTCCTCACTTTCCCCACCCTGAGGTACTAAAAAAGGGGAAAAGTGAGAGAAAATCCATCTTCTCTTAACAGCAGCAGCAATTATAAAAGCCAGTTTCTATTTAAGAAAGCATCCCTCAAAAACATAACATAATTTTGCTCAACCCCTTCTTAAAATTTTGATAGTTCAGTCTTTCTAAAGAAACAAATGTGTTTTCTAGTCACCAAATCCAATCTCTTCTGGCCCACGGTACAGAGAAACACTACAGCACAAAATCTGTTGGGGCTTAACCACGCCAAGGCACTCAGTCATGATGTTATGTGTGGCCTGACCCACCTCTGCTCAGCCACAGTAAAACAGACTTCTCTATCAGCCTCAACACAGCAGCTGAGAAAGGATTGCCAGCACTTATTTACAGCTACTTACTTAAAAGACAAACTGAGATTCATTTCTAGTTTTACTTTTAAAAGTAAAAGCATGTCCATTTAGATCAATCTGAATAATGTCATGGCATGTTGTTACTACAGGTGTGTATATTAGACAAGATTTTCCAAAGCACTGAGTTACTTTTGCACTTGCTGCTTTAGGATAGCCTAGTTTTTGGAGGGAGTGTCCTGACAATATTAATATTTTCAATAAGCATTCACAACATTCATGGAAGTTTGAATGCAAACCACAATGCACACCAGAAACCCTCCCCTACTGACTCACACTGGGCTGCTGGGTAGGAAGGAATGAGGCAAGATTTGGGAGCTTTGCAAACTGCAGCAGTGCAGTTAAAGACAGACTAATTGCTTTTCTGTATCTTCACTGATAAAGCAGGACCCGATAAATCCTTATGCAGAACAAATTAAATATGCATAGTTTGCTGCCATAACAAATTGAGTCAGTTTAACAAATTTTAAGAGGAATTCATGGTAGCCAGATCAGTGTGTACTGATGCATTTCTCTGGAAGGTTAGGACAAACTGCTGTTGAAGATGAGAAGACATGCTCTTGGGACACACACCAATCAGGAGAGGTTTGTAAACAAGAATCTCTCTCCAAGTGCTTGTGAGGTTTCAAGTCTTCCTTGGGAGCTACGTGCACAACTCGCTGCCAGAGGAGATGGATAATCATCCCATTCCATTACGGCAATAACTAATCTTTAAATTCACTCTTCCAACAGCAGTGAAACATTTGAAAGACTGTGACAGTCATTACCATCTATGTATAGTCAACTGGTTCACCTCACCGACACTCTACCAGAGAACCCTTGGCCACATCTCATAGCTGAGCCTGAGGAGCCTCACTGAATGTGCATGGGCCACCAGCAGGCATGGAAGCAAGATCCAGAATGGCACTGCCTGATTTTAGGACACGTTTGTAAGCTGCAAGAAGCCTTGAGTGAGTTCTGATTCAAGCAGAAGTTTGGATGTGCTTTCAGCATTGATAACCTGTCCTTGAACATGATGGATGGCTGTATAAAATAAAGCACTACAAACTATCACTATTCTAGGTACTAGAACGGAAAAATAACAGGATGTTAATAATAGTTACTGACAATTCAGTGCTGCTTTTTATTTATGGCTGCCGAAAGCACATGATAATCCTTTACATCTGTGTGTCTCTCATATCACAAGCCTAACTAGGGAGGAAGCTAAATTCAGGAGAAACTTTGGAAGGAACCTCTCCCCAAAGCTGACACCTCAAGGAAATAATTTGCAAACTTTGAAAAGACCAAAGATTCATGAAATCATTCCAGGAGCTAATTACATTTCAGCAACCTACTTGCAAATGGCAACAAAAGCCTTTTAATTAGTTGACTGAGTGAATCACATTTTAAATTAATGATCTTCTCTATATTGCTTGTTTGAGTCTGCTGAAATTCCAGAGGAGAAAAATCCCTGCCTGTAACATCTCCCAGTCTCTCAGTTAATCCCATGCAAAGCACAGTATTACTGGTGAGCTGACTGGAAGAATCTGCCTATTAGCTGGCAAACAGTTTTCCCTCAGGCTAGGTAACAGCATTTGCATTGCAGCAAATTTTTTTATTTTTCAAATTGAACATGGAAATCCAAGTTTCAGCAGGTATCAAGTGTTTCTGTTCACTTCTCAGCATTTCAGAAAAACATAGCTCCTCCTGTAGGTAGCTGGTGTTGTCATGGCAATCCAGTCTGTTTAGTTTTAAATCTTTCAGTTTAAATGTACTGTTGCATGCTTTGAGATAAATACAGGACGACTCATATCTAGAACCTGTTGCAGAAAACAACTGTCTGAACTGATTGTTTCTGCTGCAATACTGAAAGCATAGGGTACTACTTAAAGCCATAAACAAATATGACTGGAAAATATTTGAGGACTTGTCTGTTACCCATTGCTATCATAGAGACCAACAAGCTTGGAATAGCCCTTGTCCTAGCTCTGCCAAACCCAGGCAATCAGAGCATGAGGATTGTGAAACTAGGCAAGAGAATAAAGGATTTATAGAAATTTCTGAAGCATTTCATTTGTTTTCTGATTTTGAAGCATTTTAAGATTTTCCCTCCAGCTCCCAGGGACTGAGATTATAAAATTCTTTCTAAAACAGTGCTACATGAGTGATCACAAAACTCCAACCATGTCCCACCAAAGCTGCCTGGAAAAGTGTGGGCCAGTAATCCTGTGTTGTCTAGATGCATACAGTGGTGCAACCTACTACCTATCCAGTTCTGGGACAACCCATCCCATTCCTGACAGAAAACCCTACCCCCAAAGACCCAAGCGGGGTACCCACCTGCAAGTGGAAGACTTTGCTGCACTTAGGGATTTTAGCAAGGCATTCTCCTGGTTGGGAAAAAAATGGACCTATCTAGAGGACAGGTGATAACAGTGCACTTAGCTAGTACTTAGGAAACTAAGGGGGTGTACAAGAAGGTGGGGAACTGAAACAAAAGCAGAAAGATAGTTGTTGCCCTTTCAGAAGTCACAGACCTTGGTTCCACTCTCTGAGTGCTCTTTACACTGCCAGGCACTCAGGCAAGTTTTGGTTCACTCTAAGGGTAAGAAGAGCTTTATTATTAGGGAAAAGAGCTTCCCACTTGTATTAACAGCAGAACTGATGTCAGCTAAAGGCTCTCTTTATCCTCTACAAAGCCCTAAAACCAAGTGTGTTTGACGAGTCCCTTCACAATAATGTCCTCCTAGGACACATGTGGTTGCAATTATAACCAGGTGGTGGTATTTAAGGATATTGTCTTAAAACTGTATATATTTACACTTCCCCTGGGGAACTGTCAGTCCAGTCATACCTTCCCACATGAGTTTATTTTCCTGTTCTGTATATTGTCAGCCTAAACATTTTCTTTTCAGAGCCCTAGAAGAAAAAAATTCACACTCTGTCTATCCAACTCATTCAGTGATGGTGGAGTAAGACTACACAAACAAGCAACCGACAAATTCCATTTAACATCCAAATGTGAGTATCAGCTAGACAGAAAATACTCTGGAAAAAGTGCTTATGTATTCCCTTTCATCAAACCTTTTGTGTCTAGGGGAAAAGAGTTACCAGTCAGTAGAGGACAGGAGTAGGAAAGGCAAAGATACAGATAAACATACAGCTGCAGCTTGATGAATAGCAGGGTAACTCCTCTGGAAGGTGGCTCTGTGTGCACCAGGGGCACAGTGGGAAAGGCAGACTACGTTGGCCTCTATAGGTACACAGCCTGAAGAGCTTTAATCTGGTTACTGTCTCTCTCTCAGATGCTTCAATTCTGTGGCTAAGAATCTGAAAAATATCAAATTACTGAAGAGTAAAGACTTTCAAAGAGCCTGTGAATTTCCAGTGAAACCCAAGCCTGCTGTCAGAGTCTCAGTGCTGGAAAATCTGGGATTGATCTCATCCTGTTTTTCCTCCCTGTGTGCTGTGAGTGAGGGCATGCCTTGTAATCAAACCTGATCCTCAGCTCGTCACCAACAGCAGCACACTCCTGAAGTCACACAGCCCAAAATCCCCAGTGGGCAACTGCTTCAGAAGAAGATCACTGTGGCAGCAGCAGATGGAGGGAGAGTCACTGAGATATCAGTGACTGACCCCCAGGAAACTAAAAAACAGACCTCATAAATCCATTGTGATGTTTCTGGAAACGGCCCATTGTGTTCCAGAGCGTTACCTACTCCATGCTGCCTGGAGCCAAAGGGATGTCCTGGACATGCTGCTTTGCCTCAGAGACTGGCCATGATCTACCCTTCCTGCATGGAAGTATCTTGAAAAGCGAAATGCATAGCCTATATGAGTCAATGGCCTCTGTTTGTCTGCACCCCCTCTTCCTTCAGACGCTTTTCCTGCTTTTTGGCAGGAAAGGCTTGTTGCATAACCAGTACTTGCAGCAAGCACTATGACCCATTAAAACACCTATCAAACTGTTTTCCAGAGAAGCACTACCTACTAGGGTCTGTTCATCAAACCTTTCCTGGTTTAACTGAGAGAGACACTGAAATGTTTCACGTGGCTCTATGAAAGCCATTCACTTTTGGGGTGGTCTTTCCTTTGAAGCAGTGTCTTCCAGATAGGCTTTCCTCTAGCCCCCTTGAAATAAAGACTACATTTTACACTTAATATATGGACTGTCTGGCTCCTGGGTAGGAATGAGAGTGATTCTTACCAACACTGCTGTTCTCCCTTTTGATCCCTGAATGCTCAGTGCCTGCCAAGATTGCACGTAGAATTGATGTTAAGCACCTTTGGGTGCATAATCCTTGGGTGCATTGACAAAACAGGCAGAACTTAAGCACTCAGGTAGCACATGCAAGCCTAGCTGATTAAGAGATGATATATCACAGGGGTCTATTTTAATGACAAATTCTACCCTAAGGTCAGTGAAAACTCCATACCAGTGTAGTTGCTACACATGACTTCTATTGCCTTGGTAGAACTAGCTGGCACAAGGACTCCTTTTTCCAGCACAAGTCTCCTGTCTGCCTCAGTCGTTCATTCCCTTTGAAGTTACAACTGGGATGATTAAATGCATTGCTCAGAAAACAGTCACAATTCTCTGTGAAAAGGATTATGTGACAGTTTTTATGTATAAGCACTTCTTCAGCTTTCTGCGGCACTGAATTTTCATTTACCTGATTGAAAGAGCAAAGAAATACAGAAAGCCAGCTTACAGAGAGAGAGAGCAGTTCAACCACAGGACACTGTTATCTCAAGGCAGTTCTAGGAGAAGTGCATTAACTATTTAAGGAAACACCATGAATAACCTGCTTCATGTCCAGAGTGATCAGCCAACACAGGTCACAAGGCAAATGCCAGCAGAAATCAATATAACCTGACTCCCAAATACAGTTTTAAAAAGCCCATACTTCCTTAGTTTGAAATTACAGGTAGGATTTAATGTTTCACACACCTTGAGACATGCTGTACAATGGACTTTTCCCTTGTCTTACCACAGTGTTAGTAATACAATCTGTTTCTCCAGAGGCCTCCTACTTCTATCCCCTCAAGAATGGCAGAAGAAAGAAACATTGTGCAAAACATCTGAAGCATATCAGCTCAACACCCTGCTAACTCCTGAGCTGCACTTCAGTACACTGTTTACCTAAAGCTGGGTAGCTCCTGAAACCTTCCTAATTGCATTCTTCCTCAACTCCCATCTAATACCAGCAAGAATGTTTGAACAGAGGTTTGGGATTGGTTTTCCTGTTGCAAATATTGCTCAACCGTAGCAGATTTTGGGATGGAAGTTCTTTAAGGGAGGCCACTGGAGAAGGTATGTCTTTCCTGCAGTGAATAACAGCCTGTATGGACAGGCTCTAATGGCAGGGATCACAAATAGCAGGATTCCCAACACCTTCATTTCTGCATTTGCTGAGAAAGGGAATGATGGACATAACTCATCTTCTTAAACTACCATTGCCAAATAACACACTAAAGGCCATAGAAATGTGGCTTTCATGCCATGTGCCATGGTAAGTTTAGAGCTATTTGGGAATATGACTTGAAATTTTAAGGACAGGAATTTAGCGAACATACTGAACAGATGATTAGGGTTTTTTTGAAAGACTGAAGAACTGTCACTATTTCAGTATATTTAGCCTTCCAATGGCTAAATAAATAATTATCTGTCTACTTTAATTTATACACTTGTGTCATCATCACATCAGAGCTTTCCAAATCAGACACTGTGCTTCCTGGAAGCACCTTTAGCCTTGACAGGAGCTGTTGCTACACTATCACGAAGGTCCACCACGTGACATCCAGTCTGATTCTGCAGCAGATGTTGAAGAAGGACTGCTTGATCTTAACCTGCATCTCAGCTGCAATTCCGGTGTTGGAATGAGGAGCCAGCAAAGCCAGAAAGTGACACACAGGAGGACTGTTCTCATTTTCATATGAGAATTCAGAAAATTCCTCCAGAAGCTTCCAAAATGTCTTTCAGTAGCTAACCACAGCAATCACTTAGGCATATTGCCCCTTCCACCTTCACTGATCAGTCACTGATACTCCACCAACAGGCATGGTCACCCTCATTTCATACAAACTTCATCTGAAGCCTGAACTCTGAATGCTTGCATCCCATATCTCAGGAGCGGCCAGTTTTAAAGTTTAGGATTAGGCACTGGACTTTCAAGTCCTGTGCTTAGGCAATTAAACTATATTCTTTGGGCTTTGAATAAAAGCAAGTGCACGTTTTTCAGTAAGAAAGCATCTGTAATATTACTCTATAGAACCAGGAGTGTGCGTTGGAGTTCAAAAAATGCTGGTTATTTTCTGCTCTAGACAGAGCAATAAGAGGTATTTAATTAAGACAACAAAACAAGTCTTCTCAATTGCCATCTGTAGACCACTTTAGTGCAGGAAAAAATGATGTCAAGACTACACGTTTGAAAACTTTTGTTTGATTAATGGCATTGTACCTTGTCAGTAAATATGGAGAGAATGAAGCTGGATTGTCCTGCTCTGAAAACATCGGCATGGATCCTCCCATTATCCAGAGGCGGAAATACAACACGAGAATCACCTGCAAAGAAGAACATCTTGGTTAACAATGCACTACTAAGTAGAAATAAGGTCTCCAGCAAATACTTTGTTGTGATAGCTCTCCATGTTCTGCAAAGTGAGTCAACTCAGCAGTTTAGGCAAAATTCAAGTTTGCCACCGTGTGCAGGGTGACAAAGCTGCCGACCCTCAGCACAGAGAGCACACTGTGTTGTTGTGTGTCGCCCTTCCATGTATGCATTACTGATGCTGACTGGTATACCTTGGCTATGCACCACAAAGGCAGCATCCGAAGGACAAATCTGTCACTCTGCTGCAGTGTAGACTGCAGAGTTTTGCTATTGACCTCTACTTGAATACAGAGGGGAAAAACATGGCTGATGTCTTAAAAGCTCTTATCATTCCTTCATGCTGGCATAGGTGTAAGGACAAGCTCCATCGACACTTCTCCTGCTATGTAATCCCAATTCCTGGAAGGACTTCTGTGGGCTGGCACTCCTCCACCTTTCTGGTAACCACTTGTCAAGGGATAAGCAAGAGGATCTGGCTCCAAGAGCAGCACAGGTTGCTGCATACCCAGCATGCTCCCATGGAGGAGCTTGTTTTCTCCCCTGCAGCACGTGAAGTCCTGCCTGGAGCACATCAAGCAGCAGGTATTTGCAGGCAAAGCTTTTCTTATGGCTCTTACCAAGCCCTGCACTGACATTAACAGCATGTCACTGGCAAGTCAGCCTAGGGCTGGAGACTCCTCTGTATTTAGGGCAGGAAATACTTGCAGATGATTACATGGTTGTAAGGGCAACCACTATAAATCAAAAGAAAGCTTGAAGTGAAAACACAGTAATCTTGTTTCTGCCCAGCTGAAGCTTTCTAGATGAATTTCCAAGACTAACTTTGTATTAAGATCTACCATCGGGGCTTTCTGAGTCATTTCGGATACCACTACGCATTGTTCATTCTAGTCACACACACAGAAGTACATGGCCAAGTCCATTTGTACTTACATAGCTTATCACCAAAGCAGCTCTCTTCAAAAAAGGCCTTCCTGTATACAAGAAATTCTGGTTGTTATTTGCAGTCAGGTAGCTGAAATATAAGGAAACAGATATTTGTTGAAATATTTTAAACAATAAGCTGTTTTTCAAATGGAGAAAACCCTGTACATTGTTTTAACTGCTCTAAACTAGTGATGCAGTAATAATGACATCACCCCTACTCTTCAAAGATCTTTGCACACAAACTGAAGTAAAATGTTGAGACCAATTCTAGTAATACACACTATAGTACGTTGCAGTTTCCCCATCAAACTCTGGTGTCTGTGTGTTTGCTGGCTTTGGGATTTTTAAAAAATCTTTAATTAACTCCTTAATCCTCAGAAAACCCCCATGTGTGTCTCAGTAAGACTGCTGTCTTCAGACTCCCCAAAGACTATGCCAAGACACATTTTTAAAAGGTCACCCAAACAGAGCAAATCAATTTTAGACCATGATTAAAATGCAAAAACTCCTTGTTCCCAGCCCTCTGCTCAGTCTCTAGAGATAAGAATAACTATCTAGCAGAACAACTTATTTTAAGCATTTTTGGAGGGTATTCTGCAAGTTTCATCACAAGTCTGCTGACAAAGTGCTATGATAATTAATTGCACAAACACACAGGTGGCTTACTGTTGTAGGAATGTTCATAAAACCCTTCCTGTTTCTCAATGAGTAAACTTAAACTGTATCTGGAGCCAAAACTACACATTTAGTTTAATATAGAGTAGAAGCACTTGCCAAAGTCTAAGGAGCTTTCTTAATATAACAAACAGTGCCATACCCATGACATTAATTCCATGATAATTCCATTTCTACTGAACCTTACAGAGGCTTCATCATTGTAATAAAGCAATGACATGAAGAAATACAGAAGAGACAACAGGAATATTTCAAGCATATAGGAGGTAGAAAGCTATTTTAAAAATGACAAATTTTTAAAAGAAGTTCTAAGTATCAAGTAAACAAATTCAGCAGAAAGACATTTGCAAGTACTTCTGTGTAGCATACAGTCAGTATCAGGATGGTCTATTTAAATGATTTACGAAAACTGCAGCATGAATTGCAACACCTTCAAGCAAGTTACCTTTCCAAGCATGAAATTATCCTATGTTTCTTCCGTGAGCATCTAGTATATAAAGTGTTTTATATTTCCTCTCCAAATTCCTCAAGACAGTCTATCATCTGACTGCTTCCACCCTTCAAGTCTTTGAAAAGAACAAGCTTGAAGCACTTCTTAATGCATCCAAGAGTCTTTAATGTCTGTCTTTTTGCTCAAATTTTCTATAGTAGGAAGTTTGCAAGCCTGTTCACCATGGCAAGGTGGAGAAAAGATTATACTGAGAAGAAAACAAAAGCACCAAGGCAAAGCCAGCAAGAAACACAGGCAGCATTTAACACGAAGAAAGAAGTAAATCTGGGTGCCCTCTACAAGGTAACTGCTCTTCAGAAAACCTTCCCTAAGTGTCATGCCTAAAACTAAGGAACTAAACCATACAGTGTAAAGCAAGCCAGATGACTTTCAGTCTTTGGTGTCTACTTATTGTCAAATGCTGACATTTAAGCACCAAACCTGACTTAAATGTCAGACTAGTCTTCAAGGGCTGAATGCCTTAAAGTGCAAAGTTTTTTGAGCTCCCACTGATTTAATCAGGCTCCAGCAAGTACAAGTGAGATGAAACTAAGCCTTCAGCTTTCTCTCCCCAGGAAAGGTCATGTTGGCCTTCAAGTGTTCACCATGGCCCTGCTCCAAAGCTCACCGGAACCTAAGGGAAAGCCTCTCACTGACTTTAATAGCATTTGGATCAAACCCCAGTCTTTTATTCCCTCCTGGAACCTTTTATGAAACTCAACTCCCTCATGATTCGCAGCAGGAACTGAACTGGGTTGTACTTTGCTTATATTTTCGTGCATGGAGGGAGGAGGATCCTCTATTCATCAGGCTGCCTGACTCTATTCAAGAATTTGTTTTCACTCACTTGTACTTTTAACTCACTGCAACACTATAGGCAGAAATTTTCTATTACAAATATTTGATTTAGATAAAACTATTCTGGGAAAAGATCAGCTAGAACAGTTCAACTCCTCCAAGATTTCAGTTACAGACAGAGGAGCACTTCTATTGGTGTCAAGAAGTCTGTGAACTTCATCCTTAAGAAACTGTATCACCTCACACCGGTGACCTAAAACTTGTGAGGTGGCTATCATCTCCAGACCACGTGTTTGCTGTCCTCCAGAAAAACCACCCATAGTCAGCCAAGCTACAAGCCCAAGGGGCAGCACCTGCAGGGAGGTGGTGACATGCAGACCCTGCTGCTTTGCCATGCTCTGCAGGGATCAAGTTCCCATCAAAGGTGTTTCAGCTGGAACAACTGCTAGGCACAACACGCATCAAATTGGCCTGTGGGAGTGACATAAAGGGCCAGGTTATGCTCAATGCATCAAAGCTTTACAAGAACCACGTGGTTTTCCAGAGCACCTTACTGGGGCTACTACTTGTGTCAGCAAAGGTAACTAGTAAAACACCTCACATCTGGTGCAGGTGAAGGACACACAGTTTGTGTATTAAAATCAAATGGGTTGCAAATGGGACCTGGACGAGTCAGTGATACACATACATGTAAAACTGCATCTTATAAATGCATCTAAAGTTACACTGAACTTTGCTCAGACAACCTTAAGATCAGTCAAAGCCCTTAGCTTTGACCTTACCTAGGAGAAGCAAAGAAATTACTATTATAACAGTTAAACTGTTTTACACCAGTTTTAAACAGCTGCCATGCATCAAGTCACTTACAGGTCAGATTTCCATGCATTTGCCAACCTCTCCAGGCTGCCAAACATCCCACTATTCATAGGAACCACTCCCTATCACCTGCTCCACCCCAACCAGCTCAATGTGGCTCCCCATGCCAAAACATTCATTCACTTTCCCATGAGAGTGGGTGTGGGACATAGGTAGGTAACCTCTATTGATGGTAAGCACCAGGCAGCAAAATGCTACCTGCAGAGCAGGTAAAAATTTCAACGTGTGAGTCCTACGGATTTTCTCTAAGAAAATTATCAAAGTAGAGGAGGAAATCCAAATCACCAGGTTCACTAAACAAGTATGAAAAGAGCCCATTTGGGCAGAGGTTCCACTTCTACTTTGTGCCAGCCTTCCCACAAAACAAACCAGCATGTAATTGCCTTCTTGCTATCTTTTAAAAGCCTTTCAGGAATACCCCCCAAAGCAACCCAAATCACAACAAACAATAAATCCAAGAAAAGCTTAATAATGCAGGGACTCTTGCGCAGTTCAAGTGGAGGCCAAGACAGATACTTGGCAGTTCCAGATTACTGAAAAGCATAGCTCATCCTGAAATCAATTACATCATCAGGGCACCACAAGGTTTTATAATTGAAGACAGCAGGGTAGGTGGCCTAGTAAAATCCAATACTGTGCAGTTTACAGGAATGTAAACTTTGCTGGTACCAGATGGACTTTGTGTTAATCAAAACAAACTTCTCCAAGAAGCAGGCAGCTTTTTTCATTTCCCAGTATCATTGGAGGCATCCAGAGTTTACAAAAGGGTGTGGGGCAATTCCTCAGCTGCTGCTCATTGCCACAGCTGGCTGAGCAATTGGAGACTGCTATTAGCAGCACAGTTTTCCCACCCTGCAGCTGACTCAGCTTTGGTATAAAATGTGAACTTGCTCTTGTGTTCTCTTTGAAGGCTTTTCTCAAGGGAAGAAAACAAACAATTAAGATCTATGATGGATGCTCCCCATCAGCAACATCTAAAAGACCAAGATAAGTGTGCAGTAGAACAAGCTTTGGTATTTCAAGAGTTTGTTTTGGACATGTCGCTCAACTGTGAGAGGATCATTGCTCCCATTTATATTCCTCTCAGGAAAAAGATCCAGCTCCCAGCATCCACCAAAGTTTTGAATTAGCACTTTCAAAACCATAATAGTAAAGGAAGACATTGGAAGAGTGAGTATTAGAGCAAGGCTGTTCTCTTATTCTTAATTATTCATGTCAGTAAGACACCTCTTAATCGAGACATTTTTAAACTTAGAGAAGCTATTTTACATGCATGTCAAATCTTCACATAGATGCACACTTAATTCCAAACCAGTTTGACAGACTCCCCTGAGAATGAGCAAGTTTCACAGGAGCCATATTGTGTCTATAGAGACCACCTTCCCTTTTCTGCTTAAAGAGGACTTTTTTACCTGTCCAGCCAGCTACATCTTATATTGGTGAATTATCTTTTCCATCTAGCTCAACCTATATTCCTCCTTGAGGACAAGCACTGAAGGGCAAGTGTATGTGATATCCCAGGGGGAAAACAGGAATGAAAATCCATCATGGAGTAAAAAAACTGAATTGAAAAAAAGAAAAATAATTATATTCCAGACATGTCTGGATATTTAACTTGCTTAAAATACTTGTGAATGCAAGGAGATAAAATACCAATCACAGCTACAGGTTTTGCAAGGAAGAAGGAAAGCCCTCCTCCTTCCTTCTTTATGAGTAGTCTTGACATTCCTCACAGCATGTGTGTGGCATCCTTGCTCCTTATCTCCCCAGAGAGATTTAAACTCTGGCTACCACTACCCACGCAGACCCAGATGCATAAACACACACAAACAGAAGCAGTTTTACAGAGTCTTTTGGGAGCCATGGAGAAATTTTATGAAAGTCACAACTGTTTTAACTCATTTGCACTGATAATGTCATGCATTCTTTGTGTACATTTTCAGTTGTGACTACATTTGGAGTTCCTGCTGTTTACTGGATTTTTGGGGAAAGCAGAGCAGGGCATAACTGCACTGGCATATACAGCAGAGAAGGTGATCACACTCAAGGCTTTTTCCTTATTCTTTTAGACAATACATACCTCATTCTGTGTGG